ACAGCATTCTAAAAAGCAGAGACATCACCCTGCCAACAAAAGTGCGTATAGTCCAGGCCATGGTTTTCCCAGTTGCAATGTATGGCTGTGAACGTTGGACCATAAGAAAGGCTGAGCGCCAAAGAATTAAGGCCTTTGAACTATGGTGCTGGAGAAGACTCCTGCGAGTCCCTTGGACTGCAAGGCGTTCAAACCGGTCAGTCCTAGAAGAGATCAATCCCGACTGCTCTTTAGAAGGCCAGATCCTGAAGTTGAAACTCAAGTACTTTGGCCACCTAGTGAGAAGGAAGGATTCACTGGAGAAGAGCCTAATGCTGGGAAAGATTGAGGGCAGTAGAAGAAGGGGACGACAGAGAATGAGATGGCTGGATGGAGTCACTGAAGCAGTAGGTGTGAATTTAAATGGACTCCAGAAGATGGTGGAGGAAAGGAAGACCTGGAGGAACATTGTCCATGGGGTCGCGATGGGTCAGACACGACTTCGCAATTAACAACAAAAATGGTGAAAAATAATTAAAAAAAATAAAAAAACAGTCTCAGCTATTGTAATAACCATTCTTTATTTCACAAGGAAATTTCCAAGTGAAGAGAAAATATTTAATTGAAGAACAGGAATCTCTGTGGGAATTAAACTTAAAGGTCATTATAGAACTCAGATATAGTCTTTTTCAGTCTGGGATCTTCAGGTGTGTTGATTGAATAATAATTTCCATGATATTTACACACATGGAATTAAAAGCGACTTTTAATATTCAGCTGTTTCATTAAGTGTCTTTAGTAATGTGAGTTCAGAATTAGTTTCCCTAGGTATTGTCCTCAATTCCAGAAACCTTACTCTTTAACTGGAAATCAACTAAAATTCTAAAGCAGAGCAATGTTTAGATGCAGTTTCTAAATTACAATAGATGACTAAGTATGAGTAAGATACTCTATGGGAGGTAGACTGCTTACAGTTTCACCAATATGATCAATATTTGCAACAGTTTATCAAGTGTTTTATAAGGGCTTATAGAAAGAAGCTTAGATGATGCAGTATACTCTATGCACAGATACAAATTGGCTTCCGCTGATAAGGTTCAAATCACTAAGAACATGTTAGCTTTGCATGGAAGTATAATATTTTATGTCTTCTGAGAAGATTGACTAGAAACCTGTTGCTTATATGCAACAAAACCATTGGTTTTGATAAAGCTATCCTTTATTGATGGGAGATTCCCATGATTGCAGCTATTATTAATTACTTTTGTCTGTGCATTTATGCCCATTGCATTTATTGCATAAATGCCCATATTTTTGCATAAAGATGCCCAAATGAATAATATATAAATAAATATGTATAAATACTCATTGCATAGATACCCATTTGCAAAATGACCAATTCTCCCATTCCAGTTAACCAACAAGGGAGTGTAAATGTTGGCAGTTAACCAGTTTCCTGCCTTTTTTCTTATTCTCCTCTCATTGTCACAGTGATTAAAAAAGTAAACAGCCAATAACCACACACCCATGACTTGAGGAGAAAGCAAAGCTGTCCCTTAGGGTTGGGGTTAGCAATGAGGGAACAGTGGCAAAACACCACAATACCTTTCGTTTAGAGGGAAGGAGAATCCCTTGGGTCAGGGTTGAGACAAAGTAGAAGTTTCCACAAGTAGGGAACAACCCACTCTGCCCCTAGAGAAAACACAATGCAACTTTCTGGGCAATATTTTCCCCGTCTTTCATAGAATGAACTGAGATAGTGAAGTTAATTGGCTCAGTGTGTAAAGCCTGTTGAAAGCCTCAGGGCATAGTGGAGCTGATCTCACATTGCAGCACTCTTGTGATCTAATTTTCTGATCACACTGAAATGAAATGAAATATTGGTAGTGGTGATGAGAGATTAAGGAGAAGCTGTGATACAAAAAGTGGAAACTTGCAGCCCATCAGATGTAGCTGAACTATAAATCCAAGAAGCCCCAGCCCCAGTGAGGGATGCTGGAAGTTCAAAGAATGTTACAATCTGGAATGCTCCTTCTCATTTTTTTTCTGCCAGCCATGCCATCTTTTACATGCCTCACTATCTTCATACATACGTGCAACTTTTCATTTTCTGTATGTCTGGAAGTTTGCAGCCATGTTTCCTGCTTTCAGGTTTACTTATGCAATGGTATTCCCGGTCTGAACATAAAGAAAATAGAGAAAAATACACTATCTTTAAATTAATATGTTGCTACAACTTTTCCATTCCTTTTTATTCTTTCCACTTAAGGTGGCTGAATGTTTGTTATGATCTAGGTAATTAACTAATATGTGTATCCTAGTCTTTGTTTATCTAAAAACAACATGTTTTATATAACTTATTTTTAAAGAATGAAAAAAAAATGCCTTGCTGGAGCAGGCTACCATCCATCTGGCCCAACAGCAGCTTCTAACAGCAGCCAGCCAGCGTCCTGGGAGAAAGTCACCAGTCAGATGTGGAAACTTAATTTCCTGACTCTCCAAATGCCTTGAAATTGCCATTTATGCATGCTGCATTTGATCCAGAAAGATAACTGGATCTAGTTTGCTGTTTTTCATCCTAGTGACACATTGCTGGACTTAATGCAACTGCTTCAAGTAACAGAAGTAATACCACTAGTTCAATCGACAGCTGTATTAAAAAGACTTTGAGAGTCAGAGCTCCAGACTACAAGATTTTGAGAGTCAGAGCGCCAGACTACAAGAAATGAACAGAATAAAAACGATGAGTATGATCAGTCATGAACACAGAATGTTCCTACTATCAGTAGCACACACATTATAAAAAGCTATCATGGTATATTGTCAATATGATCTAATAATTACAAAAGAGAATGAAACCAAAGCATCAATTAAAAATAGTTTATATACTATATGTATGTGTGTGTGTAAACATGCATGTACATATATACATATACACACCTCCTTTACTATTTTTATAAAAAAAAATCTCAAAAATCCTTAAACATGTCCAACACACCTTCCTCGTCCTGTTTTCCCCACAACAATAACCTTGTGAGGTGATTTGGGCTGAGAGGGAGTGATTGGCCCAAAGTCACCTAGCTATCTTTCATTGCTAAGGCAGGACTTGAATTCATAGTCTCCTACTTTCTAGCCCAGTACCTTAAAACCAAATGCTGAAATGGAACAGATTTATCATTAATGTTTCAAATGTTTTTCACTAAAATGCATAGCTCTAAATAGAAGTATTTACAGCAAGATATTTTGGCCCCTTTCAGTATAAGCAAATTAAGATAAAGTAAAATGGGTAAGTAAAGCTTTTGCTCAGAGACTATTGCTAAACACAAAAAAAGGCATGGTCTGTTTACTCTTCAACTGAGTTGGCACAAAGTGACTATACCTGCTTCCTGAATGAATTCTGTGTTTATACAAAACACTGAATTGTAACTGACCTACTAGTGTGAGTTCACACACAAAGCAAGGGCCGTTTTTTGGAGAGCTAAGCAGGTCCATTTCTGATTAGACTGTTAGGTGATAATGTAACAAGCACCTCCAAGCAACGTCTTTGTTCTAATTTTCACATGATGCTGTGCCTCTTTTCCTCTACCAATACCTGAGAAAACCAACTAGTTTGGTGTTAAAGTAGTGATTTCTCTACAATGCAGGAGGCCTCCATGAAGTTGGAGAAATGCACAAACCTGGTGCAAACTGGAAAAGCAAAGAATTAACTAAGGTGGTAGGGAATAATTTGAGTATTCAGGATCCTTAAATTAGCAGGGAATAGGAAAGAGGGCTCAGTTGCAAAGGGAGGCTGTACAGAAACAAGATACTATAACTATATCACAAGATGTGTGGCTTCTTAGTGGATGGAATGGACTCTGCAAAGAAATTGGAATTGGGGACTTCCAAAAGGAGGGGAGAATTCACCCTAGAGAGATTAGAGAAGGAAAGAAAACTTAGGAGTTGTAAGTGAAAACATGTAGACCAAGAGCCAAGAAAAATACAGAGGAAAGGGGCAAGGCTTGATCCAGAAAGACAAAATTTGGAAGAAATAGGGGGGGTGGAGGAAGAAATAAGTAACATAGGAAAACAATCTAAAAGGATAGAGGAAGTTAGAAAAAAGTCTTAAGAATAAGGGGAGAAAGAGACAAACTCTAAGTCATTCTCCAGCTAGGAAAGCAAGTAGTCTAAGTATTAGATTTCCCCTGGATCTCTCGGGATCCAGAGGTGTTATTGCCTGGTCTTCAACCTTTCCTAAAAATGGAAGGTTATTGAGGTGATTGTAAGGAGTCAAGTACATAGGGTCAGAAAGAGGAGATTATCTAGACTCTCTTCAATCAGAGTTCAGGCCTGGTCATAGAATGGAGATGACAGTTTGGGTCTCCTTGGGATCTGTGAACCCATCCTGGTCATTTCAGATTTTTCAGCAGCTTTCAGTATTCCAACTACAGTATGTTATCCTTCTGGGATTGTCTGTGGAAATTGGGGAGGGGGCAGTGCACTGCAGTGGTTTAGCTCCTTCCTAAATGGCTGATTCCAGTTAGTGGTGGTTGAAAAGCAGAGAACAGCTCAATGGCTACTCCCTCGTAGGCTGCTGCAAGAGTGAATCCTCTCGCCATTCTTACTTAACATCTACATGAAGCCACTGCAAAGAGGCCTGATGAGGTTTGAGGTTCAGCATCATTAGTGTGTTGAGAATATTCAGGTTTACATTATTACTCCAGTCCAGAGTAGTGATGCTGGCCTGTCCCGATGTCTGAAGGTTGTGAGAGACAGGATGGGAGAGAATATTAAATTGAAGCATAATAAGAAGTAGCTACCATTTGTCCATTGGCTTCTGTGTCTGCTACAGAGGTATCTTTTGTTAGGATGTTATTGCCCCCCTGAAGAAGTAGCTTTATTACTTGGGGATCGTCCTGGATTCCTAGTTCCTACTGGAACAACAGGTGGAGGCAGCAGTCTGGGAAGCCTATTGTTGGCTGGGATGTCAGTTGCAGCATTATTTTAGTCATAATGACTCATGCTTTCATCACTGCTTAGACCTTTATTATAGGAACTGCCTTTACCGGGAACTCCATTTGGAAGTCTAGCAGCACATATGTTAACTGGGGTTTATTGGGAAGAATGTATTACTCGGTGCTGTACATTCAGCACTGGTTATCCTCTAAGCTTTCAGGTACAATTTAAAGTGTTGGTACTGACCTATACAGCCCTGCTTTTTGGCCCAGGCAATGCAATCGAGTTGAGAGAAGGCACCACTAGAGAGCACAAGGGGAGACAGCTGGTCCTTTGGAATGCCTCCCACTTTGACTGCTTTCTGAAAGGAGATCTGAGGGTGTTTAGGCTGTGATATCATGTTGTCTGGGTTTACTAATTGGTGGCTTACATAATTTGTACTTCATGTTTATTTGGATTGTTGGGTATTGTTGGATATTGCTTGTATTATGTATTATTTTTATATGGTTTCTACATTTTACTTTTGTGAACTGCTGGGAATTCTTTGGCATTGTGGCAGTCCATCAAAATAACAAACAAGGAAATAATTATTACTCATGAGTAGGAGGTAATTAGAAAAGCTCTCTATTTTTTCACCTTTTTTCACCTTCTTGCAATCTGGATTAATGCAGGTAGATTTGCAGGGAATCCATCCAATATGTCAGTTAGAAAGAGGACTGACATCAAGGGAAGAGTGCATAGTATGTGATGGCTGGGAAAGAGAATTGACAGGAAGTGACTTGATCTAGAAAAGTCAGTAAGAAGGTCCAAGAGAGTTCAAATCTCATAGAGTGAGACTTTTTTTTTTTTTTGCAAGGCAACTGAATATCATTTGCCAAAGGAAGAATTGACTGTGTTATTGAAAGTGAGTAGCCCTTTTAAGGAAACTCTAAAATTGTCTGAAGGGGCTACTGAGCAAGCTTCTGCGTTTGGAGATTCTAGCCACTGAGTTCAACAGTTACAGTTATGTAAAATTATTCTTCTGTCCATACAAATCTAGTTGTAAATCTATATAATTATTAGTAATAAGGTAGACCTACCCTCAACCTTGATCCTGAATGCAGAAAATAGTGTGTTCTATTTTATAACTAGAAGTGCTCTATATCTTACTAGATCTATGGAGGGAGTGGGAACATCCCATGGAATCCCCTTGCTGGCTGGAAAGTTAGCACTAGACTTGTCTGACCAGTTTCGGTTAGGAAATAGACAAAAAAGAAGAAAAAGATCCAATATGTTGTATGCATTTAAACAAGACATTCTGGTTTAGAGCATTGTTTTAACTGTTACTTAAAAAAAATTATGTTCCTGTAAAGAAAGCATCCAATTTGCTTGGTACACAGCTTCTTTTATACTTGCAAACTTAAGTTAGCTTAAGTAGTTTGGGTGTGTTTGTATTCTGATATCAAATTCACTCATTTTAAAGTTGCTTCTTCCCCTTTGTTCTTTGAGCAAATAGTCATATATTATGTTCATTTCAGCGAAGACTAGATATCCATGTAAATCTTGAACACTGTGGCATCATTTGGATTTTGCTAAGCAAAATAGCCATTTTTTTATTTTTGCTGCTCTATCTAGGATAGCAAAACTTTTTTTAAATTCTTTCCTCTTACAATTAGATGATCAGAAGGCCAGTGAACATCTTCCTAGTTCAAAACTAAGGATGTTCTGCCAGATGATGATGATAGAGATAGATAGATAGATAGATAGATAGATAGATAGATAGATAGATAGATAGATAGATAGATAGATAGATAGATAGAAAACATCTTGAGCTGAATTTAATTTCAGATGATTTCAGGGATACACGCTTTCTTGGCAATAACATAGAACATTTGACTTCTTCTTAGACATATTTTTAACTGTCTTGTTTATCCTACAATGTCTATTCAAGCACTAACCAGAACCATTCCTACTTGATTCCCAAGCCTAAGGAAAGTTGGGCAGGTATTACTAAGTGATGCAATGTCAATGAATTTAATCAGAAATACAGAAATTAGCAAAATGATGTCAAAAGCAATCAACATTTTCCTGGGTTCTTTAGGTTTTGCAAGGAAAACTATGGGCTTTGTTACTGATTACTCAGACATGAATCTGTGAATAGATTCCACTGGAAATAATTTTGTCTTGTTTCCATTGGAATGTAGGATGTATTTTTAATGTTTGTTTAGCAACGGCTCATTCATCCAAGCAAGTAAATTGCAGCCATAAAGTGTTTATGGAAGAGCTACACCAATGGAGTGAGTGCTATGCAAAGCATAATCCATTGAAACATTCAAAGAGTTAAAAATGTATTTAAAGGTTATCTAATACATTGCTAAATCAGGAAATCAACTGCTTTAGCATCCTAAGTAGATACTCATTCATCCATCTGTCACAAGTGTTTCTTCATGGTAGACCATTCATGGCATATAGGTGCTTTTCATTGAATGAGCCTTGTATGCAGATTGTTTTATGCTGCAGAAATAGAAGGAAAACTTAGTTGCATAGCCTGTTCTCCAATGTACCAAATCAAAAATGTCTTGGGACAGTGCACTCAAGATTCCTAATGTCTTTGGAATGGGCAAGCAGAATCTACATGTAGTATCTATTCAGTTAAATATAAGAGCCAATGTAGGGCTGCATCAACAGAGGTATCATATAAAGTTATGGTTCTACTCTGCACTGCAGTAGTCAATTTACACAAAAATACTGTGTCCAGTTTTGGTTGCCACAATACAAGAATGCTTAGAAACTGAAAAGAGTGCAGAGAAGAGTGACAAAGTAGATATTCTTCTCACAGTTGCAGATATGTATATCCACAAATGTTAGTGTCGAAAAACAAAGAATTATGCAAAGAATTGTATAAATGTCATAATGTAACAATTAAAATGACTCCAAGGGAACTTGTGATTAAAAGTTGCTGTGACAGATGTCATCCAAATGGCTTAGGAATCTGTAGCATTTTGCCAACTTAGGAGCTAATTGTTCCAGGTAATCAAACGGCATTGTGGTAGAAAAGTTAGGATATGAGACATATGGTTGTTCTTAGAGGTGGGATGAGTTAATTATTGAGAGGATCATGACTGTCAGGGGGCTTAGAAATCTGTGTGAATTGATTATACAACATGTGCAATTGCTGTTTATTCAGAAGATTAAACCTGCAGGATCCAGTAAGAAAGCTTTGGCAAGTAACTCTACCATTTCAGACTGTTGGTGGGGAATTATTTTTTTGAATTATCCCTGACTAACTGTACTGATTTCTTTGTGGTCTGTCTCCTAGATTCTTCTGGTTGTATAAATTGGTGAGAGCCTGTTTGATGTAGTGATTAAAGCATCAGGCTAGAAACTGTTGGTTGTAGTCAGCTGGGTGACCTTGAGTTAGTGACACTACGAAGGAGGCAATGGCAAACCTACTCTGAAAATCCTGGCCAAGAAAACTGCAGGGATCTATCAGAACCAGACATAACTGAACAAAAGAAAAAAATGATACCACTTGATTCTTCTGATTGTATAAATTGTCCTTGGCCACACTGATTCCAAAAGAAGAGCCTTGCCCAAGATGACCATCTCTAGATGCAATTGAACCATAATTCCCAGGATCCCAACCTGTTCCAACCCATCAGATAGATCATCTAGCCTGGGAAATATTGCATGGAGTTCAAGCAAGCATAACTTTCAGCATAATGTACTCATTTCCCAATATAAAAGTATTGCTTACATAGATCTATCCTTAATTATAACACAGATATAGGTCTATGAAACCACTATGAAATATAATTGGATTCAACCCCAAATAAGAATTAAATCTCACTAGTAATGGATAACAGTAAAACTTTGTACAGTGCTTGGCAGTTACAAGAAAAAAGATTATCTTTAGATCTAGCAATTTTTTTACATCTGGATTACTAATGTAAAACTATTAAATCACAAACAGTAAGTTCTTCATCTCAGACAGATTAAATTTCCCCTTTAATTCATTATTTGGCCATGTTTAATGCATTATGATCGATGTAGTTTCCAAAACCAGAAACAGCATAACTTCAATTAGTTTCAGAGTTAACCCAATTTAAAACAAAAACTTCAATTTGACACAATCACACCTAGATCTAGCTCACACATTAAGGTTAAACCATAATGTGCTTTGTTTGTGATGTATGTAGTTTATCTTATAGATGATCCCAATAGCAAAGTTTAACAAACCACAGTTTAAAAATCCTGGTTCAATGTAATATGTGAATACAGTTCTAAAACAGATAATTACTATCCAACATAAGCTTCTATTCAGCTGTTTATAATAGATCACATGTCTTTTTAAGATATGCTACCTTGGTTATCTAACTTTTCTTAAGTATTAAGGTGTACTTGGGATCTAGAAAACTAAATTATTACCTTTATACCTGAATTACCTTTATACCTCCAAAATTAGTTTTCCCTAATTTAAGGATATTGTCTTATGTTTCCCACTTGCAATACATTAAGGATTTTCTCAAGGCAGTGCTAGAATTTAGCATTTCTTTTACAACAATAACAAATAAAACCTGTTCTTAAGTATTCTTACTTAAGTTCTTAAGCAGCAATAGTATTTATTAAATATACATGTGAGCCAATCAATGTTCAAATCTGGAAAAAAAGGTTGTTATTTAAATCCATTTTAATCCACTGCAGTTTCTTCAAGAAATCCTTGGTAGCCATTAAAGAAAGTTGATCAAGTTGTAGGCACATAAATTTAATAAATAAGTGAGTAAATAAGTAAATAAATAGAAAAGTCAATCAGCACTTATTAGCATACATTGAGTAATCATTCTGCCTTCTAGATTATTGGCTCTCAGATTCCATTATCCTTGTCCATTTCCATACTGCCTGAAGATGAAATATGATGGAATCCAAAGTAACTGAGAGTATATTTTCCCTTGCCACTGTTTTATACAGTGATATTATTTCTAAACTAATAATTTCCAGGAGATATAGTTATGTGCCAGTTGCAGCAAAAGCAAAAAGTACATGAAGTCTTAACATTCAATAGATTCATTCTGATATATATACTTTAGATTGCAATCAAGTTCATTTGATGAGCTGGATTTAGTCAATTTTTAAGAGGAAACTAAGGCCAAACTAAACAAAGCACCGTTCATGGTATTAGCTACAATGTGGGTGGCTTTTCTGAACTAACAGCTGGATGAGGACACCAGGTTTGATTTAAGCAACAGCTGGGTCCCTGTGGGAAACTCTCATCAAATATTCTCATGCTCTAGCTATCCAAGAAATATAGTTTTGGTAGCACAATGAGAGTATAAATAGAGGGTATGAGTTACAGACACCCTGGTCAAACTGGGTTAGTACTTAGTGAAAGATTTTGAAGAATCCAAAGCTTTCTTAAGTATATATTTCAGAAGAAAGCAAGGGAAAACCACTTCCGTATTGTTGCCAAGAAAACTATACTGAACCCCCTCAGAGGATGTTTCATGTTTGATTCCAATCATCCTGCAGTTGGAAATACTGCTCATAATTTGGAAAATTAATCCTTATGGTTTAGTTGTATCTGATTATTGTGTTGCTCACTGGTGAATATTGAGGTTGTATTTATGCCAGCAATAGTCACAATATAAGTAATCATGTTTTCTACTTTGGGCTTCTCAGGATTCTAACAATAGCCTACAGAATTCGATAATCCAGAATCCAAGAACATCTGTGTTCTCTGCCTAGAACATGGGGATCATTAATTAATATGTGTTTATTCCACCGGTATTTCAAGACATGGGCTATTTTTGCTTTAGTGTAGATGTTCTTTATTTTCTCGGACAAGGAAGTAGCATAGCAAAAGAGTAGAAACTGGTTTCCAGTTTTAGTGAGAACTCACAGTCCTCCAACTATGCTTCGGATAACTGGAAAGGTATTCCAGAACAGGTTGACCACGTGTAACTGTATATGAACAGATTAACCAAAATAAATATATCTCCATTTTCAAATAATGCAGAGTCTGTTTCTTACACATTTATGGTCAGATCTGTATCTCTCTTCTACCCTCACATTCTGTAGAATAGATTATTATATAGACAAATTGTTCAGAATACCTGAGACAGAAAGAATTTGCTCTTTGGAAGCAGCCTTACGTCTGCAGACTGTTTTCTTTGTGTACCTCCATCAGTATTTTAAAAGAATATTTTAATTCTTAAAAAAAATGAAGCACCACCTCTATTAATAAGAAGTTTTCTGGGCCGTATAAAATGAAAGTGATGGCTAGCTGCAGTCCAATGTTTGGAAACTAGGCACTTGCCAAAGACAAAAAGTATTTTGTGGCACTGAGTGGGTGGCAAGGTGCCTTAGGCCAGTCTCCCTTCTTTCTGTTGCATTGATATTTTACTAGTGGCATTACTACCACACTAACTTATTGTAAAAGGCCACATTCTCACAATTTCAAAAATGTCTATCAGCTTAAAACAAAACAACAGTAATGCTGATCTTGATTTATAGCAGTGGGAAATCAGCCTATGTAGTAGTTTATAAAAGATGATCTTTCATTTATTTAAATCTGATGGGAAAAGATTAAATATATAGGCAGTAACCTTAATAACTGCACATCATTGGATAATTCTTGTTATGCCAATTGAAATATATTCCAAGGCAATTTAGTTCTTCCTGGTGCTACCCACTTTTTGGAGTGTGGGTTCCATCATGCTACGCATAGGGCAAGTGAACTCTTCGGCTGAAAAGACTCCTTATATTTATCTAGTCCATTAAAAAAATACAAAAAGACTAATGGAAATATAATGATTGTACATCCTTATAATTTCTTGTTGTCTAATACTCTTCATTCCTCTTCAAAAAGAGGCAAGAATTTGCAAGGTAAATCAGAGGAACATACTAAGTTGATTGGGGAATCAAAACAGTCTCCCACTAAGACCAGCAGACAGTTAGGATTATTAGAAAACTCAGCAATTACATTGTTCTTCATGAACATAATTTATCTGAACACAGTTGCTAATCTATTCAAACATCGATGTGCTAGTGGAGGACAGGGAGTAATTCTCAAGAGAAGCTTTGTTCTCAGTGTTGCCTTTTAAGATTGTAAATGATTACAACTTTCCTTAGAATGTGTCCTTATTTACCCTTCACTCCTTTGAAGTGGGAGTCAAGATTGTGTGTATGTTTATATGTCTACATATAAATCCTGATTAATTTGGGTAGCTGTCATCCCCTGAATTAAACAGGATTTCACTTCTATTTAAGGTTTTTTTTTTTGCTTATTCAATTGTGATGTGTAAAAACCTTGTATTTAAAATACATAATGTGGATCTGCATCTTGTAGCATTTTACATTTACCCCAGAAATCAGATCTTTATCTATAAAATTTAGCAGAAAGTCTTGGTGGAGAAAATGTTAAAAGTCTTTTCATGCAAAAAGTTTTAGCTTGCTTTTTGGGATTTCTGGGGCAAACTGTCTGATTTATCTGATCTTGCAAGGTTGAATAACAGAGTTGGAAAGGACCCTGGAGATCTTCTAGTCCAACCCTCGACTCAAGAGGGAAACTTTACACCATTTCAGGCCAAAGATAAGATCAGCCATTGTAGATGAAACAGATTGCCTGGATCTTTTTTTTCCTCTCTGTTTAGAACCAGGACAGAAAATACAGAAAGTATTGATCTCTCTGAAAGATAATTTATGTTAGAATGTAATTACGTTAATATTCTTCAATCTCTCAGCAGCTTGAAAGACCTTGTGTTCGCCTCCTGTCTCTCCAAGTGTTTCCAGAACATGACATGTGCAAGACTTTTCCTAAAATGCAGAGGTCAGGACAAGGAGAGAAAGCAGAGAAAGTGGTGTACATTTGTGGATTTGACAAGGAACATGAAATGACAACAAGTAGCGACCAGTAATTACAGTGTTGTGGCAGCAACTAGCTGCCATTTCGTCCTTCCTCTCTGGCCTGTGCTTTCATTATATAACTTTATATTATGTAACATTATGAAAGTCCATCTTTCATCAACACCCATTTCTTTCAGCACAATACTTCCTGGATTGTATTCCATCATTTTAAAAAAAACTAAGCAGTGTGAGCACCTTTAAAAAAAAACACAACTGTGTGGGATAAGCTATTTTCTTGGGGAATGTGGTTGATAATATTCATACTGCATATCACTAGAGAGGACAAGTCCAAAATGTTTGCTTTTTCTTTTTGGGAAAGTTGGAGGCTTTTTAATGGGCAAAATGGCCTTATGGTATTCATTTTACTTCATGAAAACTTCCTTGAGCCAAGAAAAAGGATCTATAAAGGAGAATATCTGTGGCTCAGGGTGGAAATGAGGGGTCCTTGGTGATCTCTGAGCTTGGTTGTTTTCTTGTAGAAGTTTCATTACCCAAACTAGCAAATATCATCAGTGCTGGTCTATGACATTAGGATTAGCACTGATTATGTTACCTAGTTTGGGCAATAACACATGCAAGAAAACAACTAAGCTCAGAGACACCAAGGTCCCCTAAGAAATCTGCTAAATTTTCAGATGCTCATTTTCTCCTTAACTTCCCCCAGCCCTTCATTCATGTTTGTGCATCTTTTGAGTCAGGGTTGAGTCCTGGCAACTGCCTAGGATGGTCTCTGCAGTTTTTCTGTCAAGATTTCAAAATCTCGCTCTTGCCTTCTTTCCAGGGCTGAGAAAGTGTGACTGGTTCAAGGTCACCCAGTTGAGTTTGTGCTTAAAGTGGGACTAGAACTCACAGTCTCCCAGTTTCCAACCTGGTGCCTAACCTCTGCAACAAATTGACACCAAATCAAAATACTGATTGAGAAATGTAGCTGAATTCATTCCATGCACGTTCTGTATATATATACCAACCACTGTTGGAGATTACTTAGCTTAAATCTCAAATGCTTTGGCAAAGATGGCTTTGAAATCTATTCCTCTATAGATAAATGATAATGTTTTATTATCTGGGAACATCATTGACATAAACGCAGTGTCTATCTTCTCCTTCTGTCTTTAATACTTAATAGCCTTTCATTAGTAAGATCTAACGTTTAATTCAGTGACTCAAATGACCATGCTATTCCTGCCAAGAATCCTTGAAACACCTGACCTCTCATCCAATACATCAAATCTATCATAATGAAATATAGTTTGCTAATAATACACACACATTAATACCCATAATAGGGGTGTCATTAGGTATGAGCAAAATGTAATATTCCTGGAACTCCTAAGCATGTCAGCTCTCCAATGGATCAGTTCCAGGGGTGGTACAATGGTTTTGCAGAGGTTAATACTCCAAAGTAGAAGCAATTCAAACACCACAAACTACTTCAAGTTCAGGAAACTGCTAAACATTTTCAGATAATATTGTCCAAAGCAGAAACGCATATACTAGAGTCCTTTGGAATGTTCCGTTACAGGAATGTTCCATTTTTCACATCCCAAGATATATGGTGTTTTTTCTATGACATATGTTATGAATATAATTTGATCTTAGACACCAGATACCATGGTATAAGAAACCTGTCTAAAAATTTTGCCATTCTCAGTTGTGAGGTGGTCAGAAGTCGGTTAGAAATTCCAAGTAAAGCTACTGAGAACAGATTAATAGATTATTATGGATTATAGATTACAAAAAAATATTAATAAATTATTGAGTAGAGCCAATAGATTATATATATTACATCGGAAGTTCATGAGTCTCAAAAGATGAGTGAGGTGCATCCTGTAACACCTAATTATCCAGAATTTAACTTCCCTGAAAAAATATTAATTACTAACATTTAAGAAAATGAAATAACTATAGGGCTGTACAGGATGCAGAAATCAAGGAGATTTCTGTGCTTTTCAGTTCCATTATATTCACATGTTGGCTCCTTCCAGCTCATTGTTACATCACTGATGCCACCTCGCTTGACATTTGCAAATGCCAAAATTCTTCTGTTGTTTCTTTGGGGGGGGTGGGGGAGAGAGGGCAGGCCAGGTTTCCAAACAATAAAGGGTGGAATGAAGTATTCATGGAAAATGCAAATAGGGGAACAAAAAAACAAAGAATGCTTTTGGAGATGCTGCTGGAGTTGGTTTCAGCAGTATTCACATGTCTCTTGGAGTACAAATAATTTCAGAAGAAAAAAATAAGTTCTTGGAAGATGGCTCAACATGAGTCCGAAAGCTCCAAAAACTAAACCTCTGGTCCCATTGACTGACCCAGACTGGATCCTGCAACATTATCCTGGGACATATATATTTGCCTTCATTCATGAAAACAAGATCTGCCTTAGCTATTCAGGCATTCAAAGCAATACTGAATAATACCCCTGATATACCTCTTATACATTCCAAGTTCTCCGACCCAGCAAAAATGCAATGAAAACACCAAATTCTAATTGTTCTAGAAATCTGAATTTGTGAGTTGTCAGAATGGAACAGGAAGTTCGCAGACCAATTTAATATCTAGGGGCCGAGTACTTTCTGGCACTCAGCAACATGTTTTGGGAACAATCATATTTCTCTGTTACCTAGAGTAACCATGTTGAAGGGCTATGTAAAAGAGAACCTCCAGTGATATGACACTGAACTGCAGGAACAAAAAAATGATGCGACCCTCACATCCTGAGAAACAAGCTCAACATACTGCTTGAAGAAAGCTGTCTCACAAATTCTGGCACATAAGAAAAGGCTTCTTAAATGGCAGTTATTCCAGTTACAACTAACTGCATTATAAAATAACAGGAGAATATAAATGGTTCTTTATGAAAAAAAATTTTTTGCTACAAATGAGCAGTTGACTTCAGACCTCACAATTTACTTCTGGTAAAAATCTAATCAATGTTTATATGGATCAATAGTGTCCAAGCATGTAAGGCTTCTGACTGGTACTATTGTGTGCCACATCTATGTGGAAGATTCCCTAAATTTAGGTTTTCCAGTCCATTGACTATAGATTAAAGCAGACCCAAGAGATTACTTCAAAGGAGACAGAGATAGATACAGATAGAGATAGAGAGATGACAGAAATGCATAAGAAACCAGCTATAAGACTGGACGAGTAAAATTTGCAGTGCTGCAGTGTGGAATGTCAACCCACCAGCTATCCACTCTTCCGACATAAAAAGACATTTGTATTAGGCCTCAGGATGATAGATGCAAATTGAACTGGTCACAAGGAAACACAGTACACATTCTTTTTTATCAACCGAATTTCAAGGACACAAGTTAATTCTCCTTTCCTAGTACATCATCTGATTATGTTCCCTAGCTTTCCTTATACTTGGAATGGCTTTGTGGAGAAATTGAGAAAATCTGGTAAAAATGCAAGTAATTCTCTTCACTGTTGGAAGTCATACCTTCTAACATAAAGGAGAATCTTAAGTGCTCTAAAACAAATCCTGCATCACTGTGGTCTTTTTTGCATACTCTAATTCAGCTTTCAACAAGAAGGCCCTTCTCATAGCCTTCCCAGATAATATTTACTCTACTCTGAATGTTTGTTAAGAAAACTCTCTGGTTAAAAATACATTTGTTCCCATTGAGCTGGTTTGTTTCCTCTATTGACAAAAGGTGTAAATCAGAAGAGAATGTCCTGTCCTTTAAAAAACAAAATGCTTTCATAGACCTTGTTTCAATTCCCCTTTCAGAGGCAGAAGAGAAGGAACAAAGCCAGCCATTACATAACAATCCGGAACAGTACCCAGCATGCTTAGGAAACAGGCTGTTCTCTTATGCACCCTTAATTTTATTAAAGTTTTTTGTCTGCAAAAAATTAAAACAAAGCAGGCCAAATGTCACAAGACAGCAGAATCAAGGGACAGTGAGGAAACAATCCAATCAACCAACTCTTCCATGAATCCCCATTATTTAACACTTTTCTAGAACAAACAAGTATGCAGCCTTAACTTGTTTATATGGACACAAATAACATACTATTTCATTTTTTGAGGTATCTTAATGTTATATTTGGAGGCCTAATAAACCTATAAAAACAATGAGAGAAATCAAAACATAAAATATGAGTCAAAAAGTTACATATACTCTACAAATAAGTAACATTGATATCAACCAGCAATGAAGTTCTCTCTTCTATCGTATACCCCTTTCTTTTGGTCTCTAAATGAGAATAAACGATACACTTACAAACACACACATTTAATTATTTTGGCTCACAGCTCAGAAATTAATCAGAAATACAATTTACTTAGTATATCTGGATAGGAAAGACCTAGCATCATTTAACATCTCCCAAAGCTCTCCTGGACTGCAGTCTAAAATCTCTTTAACCCAGACTGACTTTATTTACCCTGAGAGGATTGTTTTTTTTTTTTGCCCAAAACAAAATTTCTTTAAGATAAAGAATATCTGCCTATCAAAAGAAGACTGATAAAAAAATTTTCAAAGGCTACCTCAGTGACTAAGTTATTCATTACAAACATCTCAGCCTTCATCAATGATGTGTGACTGCAACAGCAGTTATTTAATTAGCATGAAGGGATAACAAAACAAGTTATTGAAGAGAATTTGTGAGAAGTGTTTCTATAGAAGAACCCTAGCCATGGGAGAAACAGTGCTGAATATCCACCGATGATATATTGCATTTTACCTCTTTCATTTTCACTTACAGTTGGAAAAAAACAAATGTTTCAATTGTATTAAAAGGCTGTGCTACTGAATCACAATAGCACAAAAGAGAAATTTGAGAGGGGACATGATAGCTATTTTCAAGTATCTGAAGGGCTGTCATATTGGAAGGATTTATTCTCACTTGTCTCACTAGGTTAAGATTAGAACTAATAGGATGAAACTTCAAGGATGTAGGTACAGGTTTGATATTAGGAAGAACTTCCTGACAATAATAGGTGTCAACGAGTGAAACCGTTTACTGCATGGAATGATTTCCTCCCTATATTGGAGGTTTTTCTATCAGGGATGCTGTAATGAATCCTAAAGTGTACTTAAAAAAAGTAATCCACTGAAATGAGATTATTCAATTTCATAGTAAAGTTCTGAGACTACTGCTGCTAGAAACTAATTGGGATAAAAAGCCTAAATGTTGTTCATTATTACAAATCAGCATAATTTGCTACTCTGATTGTGAATGCCCACATCTACCTAGCTAGCTTAAAGCCATCTAAACCAGGGGTGTCAAACTGCCGGCCCGCGGGCCAGTTTCATTATACCGAAGCCGTGCCCATCGCATTGCCGGCAATGTAAAAAGTCATGATATGTAGTGACACGTCATGTGATGTGGCGAGTTTGATACCCGTAATCTAAACTATTTGTCCTCATCACAGCCTGAGAATGAGAATTGTGAAAAGTGATACCCAAACACATTTAGACGATTCCAATTGGAGACAAAAAGCTACACAATGTGGAAAGAAACCTAGAACATCTCCTGGTTGGAAGGAAAGAATATACCAACCAAGCTTCACTAGAAGTGTGTCAGATTGCCTTAGCTGCACAGGTAAGATGATGCAAGTAGGTAAGGGCATTTGAAGTCGGGGAGAGAAAGTGCTGGGCACCTATCAATTGCTCAAATTCTTCAGATATTTTCCATCTTGCAAATCCTGACTCTATGTATTTCATATCAATCCTTCCCCAGGGGGCGGGGACTGGTTCTGTATCTATAAAATCTATGAAATAAAGAATGAGGCCTAGACTTCATTGCCTCAAGAAAAGCATCAGTTGCAGTGTCAACTGCCACATTAAATCCCACCTTTTCTGTTCCTAGCTTTCTCTTCACAAGTTATTTCCTAGCATTATCAGGAACAGAGACCAACAAGAGGGAGTCAAGAAAGCAGTAATGGCTATTATTTAAAGGCTGAAATTGGATCATTTTGAGATCTTACTTAATCAACAGAAGAATTTTATGATCTCCAGCCTGGATTTCCAAGGCAGTATCCATCAGTAATTCAGGCTACTTTTTATGTCAATGGTGCTTCCATTAGTGGAAAAAGTTCATTTTTATAGCAAATCCACAACAACCTAGAGCATGGTTGTCTAACC